AGGACAATATAATAAAAATAATAAATATATATAAATGTATAATGTTACGAGACTTAAGCTATTTCGTCTGAGCATTTATGTTTTCGTGTTATAATTTGTGTTCACACTAGAATGAAAGAGGCAAAATTTATGTTTATTTTGTAATTTTTTATGGTGGTTGCAAGATCATTCAAATCTACCAAACCCACACAGAGATTAATTACTGAAAATAACAGATAAAATATAATGTTTTTTCTTAAGAAATGTTTGATAACTATCCGGACATTATAAAGATTTCGCATATAAATTTTCAAATGTTCTGATGCATAAAAGTATTTTTAATCTTAAAATGAAAATTACTTTACATGATAGATAGGCAAGATGTGAAAAGAAAAAAAAAAGGCAAGAGAAAAACATTGCTTTACAAACCTTATGACTTAATATAAAAATTAGATATTTTGCATATGAAAGCATTGTAATGTTTACTTATAATCTGCCAAATTTCATTAACATTCACTTACTAATTTAAAAGTACACATGAAAACTACACAAGTACAAAATGGATATGAGGTTGTCACATTGACTGACCCCATATTGAAAGAGTTAACAGAGTGAATGACCTAAAATAATAGATCATTTAAAGATCAAACAAAAAAAGTATAGCAGTTGTAATAATCATTATTACTTTAAGATTATGTGTGTTCTGACATCATCTCATAGAGAAATGAGATCAATTCTCTCCAAAAGCTAAATCCACATTTTTCTTTTCATTCACATTATTTATTCTCTAATTTTTCTGTATGTTTGTTGCATTAAGTTATAATGACCAAACTTTTTTTGGTCAGCTTATATTTTTATTTTGTTTACCTGTAATGGAAAAACTGGTACAATGGTGTTTGGTTTAATTCATCTCCACCCATCAGTATTTTAAATTTTGTTTTATTAATTCAAACTTATTACAGGTTTCCTAAGCACTTGTAAACTATTTTCAGTCTGAGCTTAATTACTGCTTTAATACCATTGTTCACACAATAAAGTAAAATGCATACTTTTATATATTTTTCAAATACACATGTACTGTATATTGAGTGACTTACTGAGGAATTTCAGGATGTTTGTTTAGAATCTTCCCTTTCTTCTGCTGTTCTGACAATACTAAACCTAAAATAAGGATAAAGAAACAATTTTTATCATAACAACAAGAAACCATTATGATGCCCATAGAATCAATGGAACCACATAAATAACATTTTGATGTAATTTTATTGACTATTCATATGGAAGAAAAACATGGGACACATTGTTCATTCTAGAAAGCACACTTGAGTAAAAAAAAATGAAAACAGCTGGCTGTTTTGTTGAACTCCATAACAGTGTGAAGTCAGTGACAGGAAAGGTGTTATAAAGTAGTACTTTAGTTTTAGCTTGTTACTTTCTGCAAATTTCTTTGGATATAAAAAATAAGAGATTTTATGGAACGTTTAAGAAAAAAAATTGGGCAAATAGGTGTCCAAAATAAATCTTCAAACTTTTTAGGAACACACAAAAGACAAACTTTACAAATGGTTATCTTAACCATCTTTACATAATGGAATCTCTACCATACAAACATTTAGAAAATGTACTGTGATGCATCCACAGAGTCTAAAATATAAAAAAGGTTCAAGTGATAATTGGGTGGATGTTCACTATACAGGACTGAGAATGTTATATATAAATTATTTTGAACATACAAATGAGCAAGTATCATGATAATCACAGCTAATATAAAGTCCAGGTGGAACAAACTGGATGTATCACAACTAAATTTTGATACTGTTTGGATTTAGTAAAGTAGAATGATTCCACAAAAAAATTATTGGTTTTTGGAAGGGCACATAACATACTTTTCTGATGCAAAATATTCATACACTCAGATCCTAATGACATGTTCAGATTGAGGATGTAGATTTTCCAAGATGGAAATATTCCTTGAGTTTAATGGCATTGAGAAACAAAAGGATATGAAACAATTTAGGACACCATCCAGAAAGTGGCCTGCAACAAGTTGCACCCTTACTGTGGTAAGAAAAGTGCAGCAACTTGAAACAGGTAAGAATCCATTATATGAAAAGTGGCAAAAATCATCCACATGACTCAGGCAATAGTATGCATCATAATAAAAATGGATCTTTCCCTGAAAAAATAGTCAATAAGGAATGGGTTCATGAAGATAAGGCTTCCAGTCATACCCCCCATTTAATCATCACATACCTCAAGCTGCTGGAGAAAGAAACACATATTCATGTTATTCCATAAAAAGAACATACTAGTCAAGTCACTGAACAAATCACCTACAAATTTCTGTGCAAGACTATTGAAACAGGAGCTGGGAAACCATTATCTTCACCTATTAGATGGATTATGGAAAGTGAGCAGGTAGTAGTGTTGTTATTTGGATATGAAACCCTTACAACAGAGCCTTTTGCAATGAAAACTATGGTATGGGCTATAGTCAAGATGCATAGTCATCAGATATAGCATAAGTGAATATGGAAACACAGACTATAATGACATGGTGAAGCCTCAAAATTATTTTAATATATTGTATTCAACTCTTAGTACATTATATACAAAATATAGTTATTCTGCCAATCTGTTATATGGATATTAAACCATGTAATATGGCTTAGAAATAATAATAAGTGAAAGAAAAACAGTAAGAGCCCCAGAAATGAGGTTATAAACATATGCTTTAAGGAAGTTATCAAAAATTGAATATTTAATAAAAAATAGCTTATGGTAGCAAAAATAAGTATTAAACATCAAAAATAGCATGCTCCAACTACTTTTCAACATGATCATTACTGTTACATACACGTGTCAAATGAAGCAGAATACAGTACATTCACATTATTAATAATTTCCTATCATACAAGTATAAGGTGTATTCAATAAGATATGGGATATTATTTCCTGTAAAACAACTATACAAGGTGAAAACTAGCTTGGGAAAGTTTGATAGCAAGTAAGTTATAATAAATCCAATTGTGCACAATTGTTTTAAGAGCATTAGTTGTCTAGAAGGGTTATCATATAGTCCATCGATGTGGGGATTGGAATGATAAAAGTCGCAAAGTGCAACATCAGGACTATATGCATTAAAAACATGATTACAATACCTTGTGCAAAATTAGTTATTCAAAGTACTCACTTTTTAACTATGTATCACACTATTTGTCAGGAAAACACACATGAGGATGCTAGCAACAAAAGAATTCTGACTTACTGATACAGTCAATCATCAGCTGCAAATTACTCATCCACAAAGGAATATCTTTCATATGCATATATAAGTACATTATAAAGTTTAGAACAGTAGCATATTTAAGAAAACTAATAATTACAGAACTAATGATATATTATTTTTAATAATTAACCCTTCACTGCTTACAAAAGATTGGCCAAAATACAACTGTCATGTTTCTTCTAGCACACGCAGTTAAATATTTAATACATAATTAATACAAAACATGAACTACGAGTCATATCATGACACATCATAAGATTAGATTACATGTTAATTATCTCTACCAATACTAAAAACAATGTCAACAAAGAGTTAGAATCTTCAAGAACATAAATATATATAAATTCATACTTGTACAAAATACTGTTAGAATAAACTCCCATTAGGTTTCAAATTTATCCAAAAAGACATGAAACTTTAGAAGCAAGAAGCACACACTAAATGGTGTTAGACATGAGAAAATAAAGGTCTTAAAATGATGCAAGCATTCGATAAACACATCCTAAATGAAAAATTCCCCAAGTCACCTCACACTGATAAATCAAGAGTCCATATGAGTTTACAGTTTAGTACAGAAAAACGGTATCTCTGTTTTGCATTTCTAATATTGGTATGCTCCACATCCTCTTGCGATTCAATGTAACAATGAATATTACTTTTTTAAAAATTATACTTAAATGAAAATTATGTTATTTATATTTAGTAAGCAGTGACATGTGCAATTTTAACACTATGGCACCCAAATGGGTGTACCCATTGCTGAAAGGCAAAATTGCACCATTGAAGTTGAAAAAGAATTAAAGAAACTAAACTTATAGTTGTCCCTCTACATATATATATATATTAAACACTTCAGAGCATTTAACTTTATACATAAACATCTTTAAAAAGTGCAAATTTTCCTTTTGGGTTGATTTCAGCATTTTCCAAACAAAAATACTAGTGTTTGAAAATTTTCAGAATTTTTTCTCAGTGTTATGTTACATTTATAGCCCCCTAGAAAGAAAGTTAAGCTAGTTTTGAACAATGTGACATCAATATGAACCTTGGAATTTCAATACAAATTTAATAATATTTATTTTAGCCATTAGTGTTTTGCAACCTTAGTTGCTATGGTGTTATGCAAATTGCCTACATATCTGAGCTTTGAGATGTCATAAGCTAATGATCTAAACACATAATAAAAAATAATTTTTTTGTTCTTTTCAACTGTGTAAGTCAATATGGTTTCCAGTCTAGCAAAGGCTCACTTAAAATTGAGGTTAGAAGAAACTTTTAACAACTTATCAAACAAAATTGTGTAATCAAAAAATTATTGCAATACATTTTATACTAAAGTAACAATAACATTTCTGATTGAATGTTGTAATTTCTTTAATAAATTTATAAACAATTATAATGTTCACAATTTTTGATACTTTTTGTCACTGTATCAAAATAAATGTATCTTACTTTTCCATAACATAAAAATAGATACATAGATGCACAATAATTAAATTACAGAATTCATTTATTGATTCAATAAAAGAAGTAAATTATTTTATGAAACACACCTTGTGACAGCAGAAGTCTATTAAGTTACTGCAGAAGCTATAAGAATTTCCTACATTATATATATATCGCAATGCAGTTATTTCCAGATTGGTAAATTAAAACTTTATTACTTCTACAAAAGTAAAATGACCACTAATAAACTGTACTATAATTTTCTTAGTAAACTAATAAGCAGCAGTAGCATAATGCTAATTTCATAATGCCGAAACTTTATCAAAAGTTAACATTTTCCTTAACTTAAAATGTATTTCTGATAGATGCCCAACTATGCACACAGAATAGCTTTATTCTTACACACATCTGCCTATGAGGTTTGCATGCAACTAGCCTTGAGCTACCTCCCACCTAGAATTCAGGTATTTAATTTGAACTGTACCAATGCATGATGTTATCATGTGATGACAGCCTTTCATCAATAGAAGGGTGACACAATGTTTTTGTGCAGTAGCTCCTCTATGCACTTGTGCTCAAATTAACTTCCTTCTTAGATGAGACATGAAGAAAGGGAACTGGAAGTGAGAAGAAAGGGTGGGAAGGTGTGTGGAGGAGAGAATCTCTTGGAAATATACTTTCATGTAGGAAAAATGTTAACTTCAGAGATGATATTTCATCTCTTCATACTGAATAGTTAGGATCCCACACTGAAATGGTGGAGGGACCAGTACATACATTAAACTGAAATATTCTCCTTTTAGAAAGCACCCAAAAGGAAGCCAATGGAGTGAGGTATCAAATGGCTGGGGCTCCATAGGGGCACGCCTGTAGGAGGTAACATCGAGTCTCAATCAGGGTATACTCCACACCCAGAAGGAAAGAGACTGAAAGACAAAAGAGCCCCAACTGTTGTAGGGATGGGTGGAATTTTTGCATGACCAACTGAGCTGTAGCACACTAGTGGTCAGCAAGCCAAGAAGGATGACGTTGTAACGTCAAAACATGTATAGTCGTCAACTTTTTGAAGGCCATAGATAGGCCTAAATAAAATGTTTTTAATTGTGTACCAGTTTAATGTTGAATATTATTTATGATTTTAAGTGCAGTGTCGTTAGGGTATGGTCAAACAAATCAGTGTATATCTGACCACACAAACAGAGAGGAACTTAGTAGCTAGGAACTGATAAGTGTCTCCCATGCTCCACTTGAAGAAAGAGGTTGGGAGAATAATTCCCAATGGGGAGACCCAGAAACTTGCTTGGATCCTCATCAAATGCCTGCCAGAATGTTCCTTTATTGGAGACAGTGTAATGGGTGACCACAATCCGTATATTTTTAAAAACCAGCAAATGCAAGCCAAAGAAGTAGGCAGTCACTTTCCTGG